GTTAACTGAGATAATAGACGGTCTCAGAGATGATGCTGGCTTAAACACAAATTATATATACCAGTTATAAAATGCATTACTAATAAAAAATGCAATATATGTCAACTTATAATCGTATAACACATTTGAGGAATGTGACTAATATATCACTTTTGAGTAATGTGGCTCAACAAAGGAGGTGGCTTTAATACGCTATTCGCAACAATCAGATTTTCGGCAAGGTATAATCAAAGACTCTATGCGGGCTCAAAGGCGCAAAACAGTTATTTGGAAACTCTTTCAAGCAAATGTGCATTCCCCCTTTTTCTTGACAGAATAACCCATAAATCGTTAGGAATACGCCTTATAAATTGATAATGCGAAACTACAACTTATAAATCGCATTTAGCAATTGCGATTTTTTTTTGTGCTTCTCAAAAACTTTTTTCCTTCCAAAAAACTTAGCCAAACACCTCAATTTTTTATCAAAAGTAGTTTTGGCAAAGAAATTCACTTTTGGCCCAAAAAAAAACTTAGCCAAACATCCTATTATAAATCGCAACTCAGGTGGTAAATGCCACTTATATGAAGGCGACTTCTAAGCATATCTACTACTAATATATAAGTGAGGATATGCACACACCTTATGGCCAACATGTCTGTTTCATCATGCCTTTTTGAAAACGTCTGGACCCATTGAATAGAGTTGTCTACGTTGCAGCCTTTCATTCTTTGAGCAAACACTGTCACCTTGAGGCCACATGGCTAATGTGATAAGTTTCTTGTATAAAACCTTCAAAATACCCTTATATATTTATTTCACACATAGAGAATTTGTTAGTTTAATGCCCTTATATATTTATTTCACAAAAAGAGAATTTGTTAACTAATAATTTTTTATAAATTTTGTATTTTAATAGTTACTGTTATTTTTGTTCACTTTTTATTTAGGTAAAACAAAATAAATATGTTTACATTACTAATATCGAATGGATTCTTTAACTAAGCCAAATCCAAATGCATAAGTCAGTTCGAAACTTTACCCAACTTTTATTTTAATTTTATTTGAACAAATAATTATGTTTATATTTTTATGATACTTTAATAACGAATGTACATAAATATTCGTAAAACAAAATTTTATTAATATAGAATAAAATATTTTTATGTAAAATGTATTTTCTGTTGAAATATTATAGTGATAGAGTGCGCCAATGCGCACAAGAAGTGAAAATGATCTCCACTAATAACTTGAGTATCAAAGAGAATATAATTTTTAAAATTTACGAGAGATCACTATAAGATTTTTCATAGAATGATTTTGGGATCTTAGGTTGTTAATGAGTAAAATTTTAAATATAAAATATTTACCAAATAATAGATTATTAAAATATTATATTTATTTAAGGATAACTTGGTTAAATCACTTGTAAACTTTTAATTTAAATTGGATATGTAAAAGATTTAGTTATACAAAAACTTCAATTAAATCAATGTTTTTCTTAAATCAAGGTGATAACAAATATCATCGATCTTATTGAGAAGAGTCTTAAATATACATGGCTAATAAAGAATATGGAAAAATAACATAAACCTATTTTATTTGTAGACTAGAAGGATCCATGAAAATTTAGTTGTAAAAAATAAAAAATACTCCTACCATAAAAGAAAAAGAAATGTAATAATACTATAAATCCTACCGCCTTACCTAAACAAAAATGAAAAAATCAAGCACCAACTTTATGTTGATAATATAATAATGTTTTGTTTGACATTAGAGTAAATTTGTCACATGCAACAATTTAAAAGTTTTAACTATTAAGATTGGATAAGATACAGAATTACAGACAACATATAACACAGTAATTAAATTTTAAATGACAATTACTAAATTGATAACGCTTTATTGATTAACGCTGGTCAAATATCATCTATTTTGTTGAGAGGTCTTAACCATACTACGGTTAACAGACATACAATAGTTAGAGATATAAGCATCCATGGAGGTTTAGTTGTAAACGACAACAAAAATAATCCTAGCATAACAAAAGGAAAAAAAATATGTAACTCAATAACCTCACCTAAGAATATAAAAATCAATTAATTAATTTTACGTAAATATAAAATGAAAAATATATTGTTTGACAATAAGGTAAACTTGTCAGGTTCAACAATTTAAACTTTTAAACTATTAAGATGAGTGACAAAATTAAGTTACAAACAACATCTTTAATGAGTGACAAAACTTCATGTAACAACTCCAAAGCAAATTACATATATAACGGAGAAATACTTAAACTTAATATAAACAAGAATACTTTGTCTGATACACAGTAGCAGACTCATGATTTTATGCAAGTGGGTTCAATCTTAGAAGTACATAACTTTAGTCGTAAAATAGTAGTTGTCAAGTGAGTTCAAATAAGATATTTATATTAAATTTACGCAACTGTATTCGTAATTTCTATATATACACAATATTATTTTTTGATAAAGCGGGTTCAATTGCTACCAGGTGCGTCCGCCAATGCTGATACATGTGGAATTTAAGAAATTATATGAACTTCCTATTGTAAGAAGAGAGTTTACACTATATATATCGTATGGTAAGATCAGTGATCCTTTATCACATTCAGAGTTTGCAAGATTTATCACATAAATTATTAATATTCTTTTTATCTCTGGTAAAACATTAAATTTTGCTATTTTAAGAATTATAAAATTTATTTGATATAAACGACTTTTACCTAAACTTAAATATTGGGCCTCACCTAGTAAGCTTTACAAGTCCCAAGGGATTAGCAGCTGAGAACAGAAAATGGAGAACTCAGCTCAGAGATTGAGGCAAGAGAGGCGAGAGAGGCGAGAGAGAGAGAGAGAGATTGAGAAAGTGAGAAGCAGAGCGATGAGCGGAATAGCATCGGCATTGTTCGTAGCTCGAAGAGTGGCGCAGAAGGATGGAGTTCGGATCCTCTGCTAACTTTTATTCTTTAATTTATGGAAAAAATTGCAAGTTGTGTCAAACTATCAAGGCAAGTGGACCATAATCCTCCTGCTTTAATTTGATTTGTATGTCAATCAATTTCCTCATCTTTATTGCGCTTGAGCTTCCGCAATTCACTTGTCTTCTTTTGTTCTCGTCTTTTTAAAGTTGGCCAATGTATTCCTCGATGAGATGGCATTGCAATAATGTGTATATTATACACCACATAAAAGGGGAAAATTTTGGATAGGTTTTTCCTAAATAGAACAAAATTATTTAGAAGAAAGTAATTAAGTTTTTCTCGATATATTAAACATTCTCTTGTTCCACTTTCTATGACATTATCTGTTGAAAAAAGAAGCTTTTATATAGCCACACATATGTTTGAATTCTTGCATTTGCCGTGAAGATTCGGGCAATGCCAATTGCTCTATGAAGTTAATGCCAAGATACTTGTGGAATCTGTCAAGTCTAGAAGTTGAGAATATTTTCAGCGTGATTGCTATGATAACAACAACAACATACTCAGTATATTCCCACATGTGGGGTCCGGGGAGGGTGGTCTGGGGAGGATAGTATGTACGTAGATCTTATCCCTACCTAGTAAAGGTAGAGAGGTTGTTTCCAATAGACCCTCGGCTCAGGGAGAAGAATAAGAAGAAGAAGAAAAGAAAAGAAAGAGAGGGTAAAAAAGAATAACAACAACAAGAACAACAACCCAGTGTGGTCCCACAAGTGGGGTCTGGGGAGGTAGGATTTACACACCTCAGGTAGAGAGAGTGTTTCCGATAGACCCTCGGCTAAAGAAGGTGAGAGAAGCCCTGGTAGCAAGCAATAGCAACAATAATTAGAAAACTAGATCGGAGATAGGAACAGATAATATGAAAGTGGTACTGATAACAAGTAGTAGCAAGATAACATATTTAGAAAACTAATTCCAAGGCAGCAAATGAGAATATGAACGAAGTACTGCTAGCAAACTATGGGATTACCAATGACAAGTAACAACAAAACGAGACATGCGAATATAACAAACTAAGGAAAAAAAGGGTACCGTACTAGCGCTAATACTATCAAGCTAGAGAAGACCAAGGGAGATGCACAACTACCTACTAACCTTCTACCCTAATCTTCAACCTCCACACCCTTCTATCTAGAGTCATGTCCTCGGTTAGCTCAAGTAGCTAGTAAGAACAGGAGAATACGATAACTGAAACAAACTAAACAACATGATGTAATATAAATATGAGAAATAGGGAAGTACATGCGTGCTACTAGTACTACTGGTAAGAAAGGGGGAAACTGTCAACTACCTACTAACCTTCTACCCTAATCCTCGACCTCCACACCCTCAGCGTGATTACTATGACATGGAATTGAATTTGATTCAGAAAAGCTTCTTAAAGAAATTTTCAAATTAATTTTAGTTAAAAGCAATATGGTTTGATATTAGTAGGAGTATTATTTTTACGTCCACTTATCTAATCAGAATACATTTAATTGAGGAGAGGGCGAAAATCCACCAAGAAGAAGTATAGTAGTTTCTATTTTTTGTTTAAAAAATTGCTAGTAGGTAGTCGAGAGTATTAGTGTTAGTCGTTTTTTTACCTGTTGTTCTTTTCGTTTCGATTTTTTACTATCTTGTTATTGTTACCGCTTGGCGCTTGGTTTTTTTTTCTTTTCGTGAGCCAAAGGTCTGCGTACACACTACACACTACCCTCCTCAGACCCCACTTGTGGGATTGCACTGGGTTTGTTGTTGTTGTTTCAAAAATGAAATTTGATTTTTCTTTTTATCTGCTGGTTTATTAAGATTCTGCAACAGATAATGCATGTTATTGTTTAGGTTGTGGACTTGTGGTCAGGAAAAAATTGGTGATATCTAAGCTTCACTAGAAAACAATAGACTCCTATTCACTTAGTTCTGAAGTATAAACCATAAGAAAGGGCATATATCGATGGAGTAACTTGGGCAACTACACAAATCAAGTTTCCAAATCCCTTTAAAGCAGTCTGTTTACAAATGCATAGTAACTGCATGGAGAAGCACATTTTCTTATTGATTCTTCTCTTTCTATTTCAATATTACTCCGTTTTTATATCGGCTGCTTCCTCAAATGAAACAGACCAACAAGCTCGACTAGCTTTCCAAAAACTTGTTACTAGTCCCAGTCCTTTTCTGGCCAAGAACTGGACCAAGAATACTTCTTTTTGCTCTTGGTTTGGTGTCACTTGCAGTTCAAAAAGGCAAAGAGTTGTGGCCTTGACTCTTCCTAATTTGCAACTTCAAGGCACAATTTCCCCCTCTTTGGCCAATTTGTCGTTTCTCAGAGAGCTCAATCTTAGGAACAACTTCTTCCATGGCAGCATACCTTATGACATTGGCCACTTGCCTCGCTTGCGAGTGATTGATATTCAAGACAATCAACTCCAAGGAAGTATTCCAACAAGTCTATTTCAACACCAAAAAGTTCAAACAATATCATTGGCTTTAAATAAACTCAGTGGTGAATGTGGAAGGGGCCATGGTATGTACCAGAACTCAGAGTCTTAAATCTCTGGAACAATAGCTTCACAGGTATAATTCCTCCTTCTATTGGAAATTCTACAAAATTGATGAACTTAAGTTTGTCTGGGGATGGAATCAACGGCAACATTCCAAAGGAGATTGGTAATCTGAGCCAACTTGCAGTGTTATCCTTGTTTGATAATCAATTAACAGGTTCCATTCCTGCAGCACTGTTTAATATCTCCTCATTACTTATCATATCTCTAGCAAGAAATAGCCTTTCTGGTCCTCTCTTGCCTGATGAAGAGAAGATTTTGTCAAATCTAGAGTTTTTAGGTGTATCATACAACCAAATTTCTGGTCGCATTCCTTCCAACATTTGCCAACTTGCAGAGCTGAAAATTTTGTCCATATCTTTCAACAACATAAATGGAGAAATACCCAGAAATATTGGTTGTTTAGCCAATCTCGAGGAGTTCTATATTGGTTATAATCCAACAAGTGGGACTATTCCTGCATCATTGGGCAATATTTCCACTCTGCAAAATCTTAATGCTATGAACAATAGTCTACAGGGGCCAATTCCTCCAGAATTAGGGAAGCTATCCAATTTGAGGCAATTAAGCTTTGATCTAAATCATAATCTTATTGGTCAAATTCCAGATGCTATTTTCAATATATCTTCTTTGGAACTCGTTGGTTTCAGTTTCAGCAACCTCTCGGGAAGAATTCCAGCCACTACAGGTCGTCGTCTTCCAAACCTTAGAGGAATTTACTTGTCATACAATCAGCTTGAAGGAGAAATTCCTCCGTATATCACAAATGCTTCCAAGCTTAACACACTGGCGCTAGATATGAACCTTCTCACTGGCACTATTCCTACAAATTTGGGGAATCTTCATGAGCTGCGAGGGTTATTCCTATCTGGTAATCAACTTAACAATGAACCAAGTGAATATGACCTACAATTCTTAAATTCATTGGTGGACTGTAGGATGTTGCGATATCTAGCAGTGGGTTCCAATCTGTTGAATGGCATTCTGCCCAGTACTATTGGGAATCTGTCATCTACTATTGAAATATTTCATATAGCAGATGCACACATCAATGGTCTCATCCCCAAAGGTATAGGCAACATGAGCGGACTAACGAAACTAAACTTTCAAGACAACAACTTGATTGGAAGTATTCCTTTTGAGGTTGGTAGGCTTAAAAAACTCCAAGGGCTATTTTTAAGTAACAATAAATTACGGGGGCATATTCTAGATGTAGTATGTGATTTATCTAATTTGGTTGTATTATATTTGCCTGAAAATGAGCTATCTGGGGTGATTCCAGAATGCATAGGAAATCTTAGCATGCTACAACAGCTTGATTTGGTGTCTAACAATTTTTTATCATAGCTTCCTTTGAGCCTTTGGAAAATGAGTAGTCTTCTCACACTAAACATGTCACGAAGTTCCATACAAGGAGAAGTTCCACCAGATATTGGAGAACTGAAGGCTATTGTAGCAATAGATCTTTCCAGCAACCACTTTTCAGGCATGATACCAAGTAGAATAGGGGACCTCGAGAACATGCTGTATCTTTCCCTATCAAACAACTCCTTTTTGGGCTTAATTCCATTATCCTTTTCGAGCTTGATAAGCTTGGTATTCCTGGATTTGTCCTTAAATGCCTTGTCTGGTAGTATTCCTAAGTCATTGGAAAACCTATCACACCTTGCAAGTATCAATGTTTCATTTAATGATTTAGAAGGTGAAATACCCAGTGGTGGTGTGTTTGCAAATTCTACTTCACAATCTTTCCTAGGGAACAGAGGTTTATGTGGAATGCAAGTACTGGGGGTTTCTGCTTGCACAATCACTAATTCTGGACAACAATCAAGGTTTAAGAAGCTTGTGCTAAATGTCGTTACTCCGGTGGTTATTTCATCTTTTATAATATTCTTGTTGGCTTCAATTTGGATAATGCAACGACAGAAGAAGAAAGGGAAGTCTAGAGATGTGGAAAAGGTACCGGAGATCAGGACTTATCAATTGGTTTCTTATCTCGAGATTCAACGAGCAACAAATAATTTTGATGGATCAAATTTAATTGGTGTGGGAAGTTCTGGTTCTGTGTACAAAGGCACATTATCTAGTGGACTTGTGGTGGCAATAAAGGTTCTGGATTTACAAAATGAGGAAGCATGCAAAAGGTTTGATGCTGAATGTGAAGTGATGAGAAATGTTCGGCACAAAAATCTTGTCCCGGTGATTACTACTTGTTCTAGTGAATACATAAGAGCCTTTGTTCTGCAATATATGTCCAATGGGAGTCTTGATAATTGGTTTTACAAAGAAGATCGCCACTTGAACCTTCTTCAAAGAGTCACCATAATGCATGATGTGGCTTTGGGAGTTGAATACCTACATCATGGTCATCACGTCCCCATAGTACATTGTGACCGAAAGCCAGCCAACGTTCTTTTGGATGAAGAAATGGTGGCATATGTTAGTGATTTTGGCATCTCCAAAATTTTGGCTGTAAGCAAGTCCATGGCTCATACCGAGACATTAGGCACTCTTGGTTATATTGCACCAGGTATACTAGTCTCGTTCTTTGATTTTCTCTTATTAAATTAAGCCCTTCGAATTCTAGAACTAAATAAACAGCAAGTTTTTGTTAGTACAGAATTATTGTTATATTTGGAATGATTTATTCTATTTATTTTCATTCTTTTAAGAATATGGCTCGGAGGGAATAGTGTCTACTAGTGGTGATGTTTACAGCCATGGCATCATGTTGATGGAGGTTCTGGCAAAAAGAAGGCCAACAGATGAAGAGATATTCAATGAAAATCTTGGCTTAAGGGAGTGGATAAAACGAGCATTTTCAGGGACTATGATGGAAGTTGTGGATGCCAATCTTTTTCTTGAGGAAGAACAAGTCAATTCTAAAAGTGAAATTTGCATAGCGTCCATGATACAATTGGCTTTGGACTGCACAAACGAAAGGCCAGAATCAAGGATAACCATGAAAGATGTAGTCAAGAGGCTTCACAAAATCAAGAACACATTTTTGGCAACATAGAAGTCAGCATCTCTTAAGGTGGTGTGCTTTCTGAGCTGCAAGTTAATATGTTGCTTTTTGTTCACCTGATATCTTTAATATAGTCGTCCGTACTACTTGAAGTCATGTACAGTTCGTAATTTTGAGTGTTGAAGTCCCTCATGTTGTAAATTTCATATTTGAGTGGTTTTGAACCAGTTTTACCTCTTTTTAATAGTAATTATGGTTTGAATGCTTGAACCAGCATTAAATCAAGAAATATTATGAAGGTGTTTAGCTGCTCTGTTTGGCTTTCTGTTTGCAAGCTTTGAAATATGTCTTCCACCTCTTATCGCCTCTAATTCTTATTTTTGATATGTTAGTTTTTTCCTTTCTATTCAATAATTTAATAAACTTTTTTTTAACTCAATGTGTTAGTGGAAAAAATAATATTTGTGCATTATCTTTTGGGAAGGAATATTTAAATTCTCACATCCAAGTAATCAAGAAACCCCTTCAGCACTTGAGAAAAAGGAGTTACTGTCCCAACAATATGAAGATGTTGCATTGGGAAACATATAAGATGAGTCAGGATACTCAAATTTAGAAAATAGAAACAATAGTGCTTGATTCTTTGGGACATATAGAGGAACATCAGTTAGACCCAGATAGAACTTAAACTCAAATTTTTAATTGATCACCCTGTTTTTTAGTATTTTATCAGTTTTCCATTTGGAAAGGTATTGATTACCCATTGTTTATATGCTGGTTAGGTGAATAAGGCATATTATATGAGTAAAATTGATATCTTAAATTTGGAATTCATTAACTGCAAATAGTCAAGTCAAGAGGTCGAGATATTCCACATCTATAATGTATTTAAATTTAGAAAAACTTATGAAAAGCATTTTTTAAATAGCCAAGTCAAGGTTGTGGATACAAGCATATGTGTGAGTAATAAGATAATAGCTTGCTTATACTAATTGTATTTAGTTTAATTTTATTTCCTTCTAATACAAGATAACACCTTATCTTCTGTTTTGTGGAAATAATCTAAGTTGAGTCAACTGTTAATCATCTTTCTCATTCTAACCGTAAGTTATTTACTATCATATCTATTTGTTATTGATCCGCTATCCTTTTCCATTCCTTTCTTACTTTCTTTTTTCTTTTTTTCATTCTCGGTGCTCTATATAATGGAGTAAGTAACTTTGGATACCAAACAAATCAAGTTTCCAAATCCGTTTTAAGCAGTCTGTTTCCAAGTGCATATGGAGAAGCACATTTTCTTATTGATTCTTCTCTTTCTAGTTCAATACTACTCAGTTTTTATATCAGCTGCTCCTTCAAATGAGACAGACCAAGAAGCTCTTTTAGCTTTCCAAAATCTTGTTACAAGTCCAAGTCTGTTCCTGGCCAAGAACTGGACTAGCAATACTTCTTTTTGCTCGTGGTTCGGTGTCACGTGCAGTTCCAGAAGGCAAAGGGTTGTAGCCTTGACCCTTCCTACTTTGCAACTTCAAGGCACAATTTCTTCATCTTTGGCTAATTTGTCCTTTCTCAGGGAGCTCAATCTTGGGAACAACTTCTTACATGGTGGCATTCCTTATAGCCTTGGCAACTTGCCTCGCTTGCGAGTGATTGATATTCAAAACAATCAGCTCCAAGGAAGTATTCCGGCAAGTCTATTTCAACACCAGAGAGTTGAAAAAGTTTCTTTGGCTTTTAATGAACTCAATGGTGAAATGTGGAATGGGCCATGGTATGTACCAGAACTCAGAGTCTTGAATCTCATGAACAATAGCCTCACGGGTATAATCCCTCCTACTGTTGGAAATGCTACAAAATTGATGAACTTCAGTTTGTCTGGGAATAAAATCAACGGCAACATTCCAAAGGAGATTGGTAATCTGAGCCAACTTGAAGTGTTGTCCTTGTACGATAATAAGTTAACAGGTTCCATTCCTGCAACAATGTTTAAAATCTCGTCGCTAAATGCTGCAGCTCTGGGAATCAATAGGCTTTCTGGTCCTCTCTTGCTTGATGAAGGGAATATTTTGTCAAATCTGGAGTTGTTAAGTATATCTTATAATCAGATTTCTGGTCAAATTCCTTCCAACATTTGTCAGCTCACAGAGCTCAAAATTTTGTCCATATCTTACAACAACATAGCTGGAGAAATACCCAGAAATATTGGATGTTTAGCCAATCTTGAGAGGTTTTATGTTGGATTTAATACAATAAATGGTATTATTCCTACTTCATTGGGCAATATTTCCGCTCTGCAATATCTTAGTTGTCCAAACAATCGCATGGAGGGGCTAATTCCTCCAGAATTAGGGAAACTATCAAACTTGAGGCTGTTATATTTTCAGGAAAATTATAATCTTACTGGCGAAATCCCAGAGGCTATTTTCAACATATCTTCTTTGGAGACTATTTTTTTCAGTTTCAACAAACTCTCGGGGAGAATTCCAGCCACTACAGGTCTTCATCTTCCGAACCTTCAAGAACTTTTCTTGGCACAAAATCAGCTCGAAGGGGAAATTCCTCCGTACATCACAAATGCTTCCAAGCTTGAGACATTAGAACTATCCGCGAACTATTTCAGAGGCAGTATTCCTACTAATTTGGGAAATCTTCGTGAGTTGCGAAATCTGCTGCTGTGGGGTAATCAACTTGTTAATGAACCAGGTGAACATGAGTTGCGATTCTTCAATTCTTTGGTGGACTGCAGAAAGTTGCGATATCTATATGTCGGTTCCAATCCATTGAATGGTGTTCTGCCTGATGCTATTGGAAATCTCTCGTCTACTATTGAAAATTTTCATATGTTTGATGCACACATCAACGGCCTCATTCCCACAGGTATAGGCAACATAAGCGGTCTATTAGGCCTAGACTTTGAAGAAAACAACTTGACGGGAAGTATTCCTTCTGAGGTTAGTAAGCTTACACAACTCCAAGGGCTATTTCTAACTAACAATAAATTACAAGGGCATATCGTAGAGGCAGTGTGTAATTTATCTAATTTGGTTCGATTAACTCTGAATGATAATGAGCTCTTTGGGTTAATTCCAGAATGTATAGGAAATCTTAGTATGCTACAACAACTTTATTTGGATTCTAACAACTTTTCATCAAAGCTTCCTTTGAGCATTTGGAAGATGAGTAGACTTCTCTATCTAAACATATCAGAAAATACTATAGAGGGAGAAGTTCCACCTGACATTGGAGAACTGAAAGCCATTGTAGAACTAGATTTTTCTAGTAACCACTTTTCGGGCATGATACCAAGCGAATGTGGAGACCTCCAAAACTTGAAGTCTCTTAACCTATCAAACAATTCATTTTCAGGCCCAATTCCATTATCCTTTGCCAAGTTTATAAGCTTGGAATTTTTGGATTTGTCTTTCAATGCCTTGTCAGGCAATATTCCTAAATCATTGGAAAAACTATCACACCTTATAAGTATCAATGTTTCATTCAATGATTTAGAAGGTGAAATACCCAGTGGTAGTGTATTTGCAAATTTCACTTCGCAATCTTTCCTAGGGAACAGGGGTCTATGTGGAATGCAAGTACTGGGAGTTCCTGCTTGCCCTATCACTAATTCTGGACGACAATCAAAGTCTAAGAAGCTTCTGCTAAAAGTTGTTATTCCAGTGGTTATTTCATCTTTTCTAATGTTCCTGTTGGCTTCAATTTGGATAATGAAACGACAGAAGAATGGGAAGTCTAAAGATGTCGAAAAGGTACCGGAGATCAAAACTCATCAATTAGTTTCCTATCACGAGATTCAGCGAGCAACAAATAATTTTGATGGATCATATTTAATTGGTGTGGGAAGTTCTGGTTCTGTGTACAAAGGGACATTATCCAGTGGAGTTGTGGTGGCAATGAAGGTTCTGGATTTACAAAATGAGGAAGCGTGCAAAAGGTTTGATACTGAATGTGAAGTGGTGAGAAATGTTCGGCATAGAAATCTTGTCACGGTTATCACTACTTGCTCTAGCGAACACATAAGAGCCTTTGTGCTGCAATATATGTCCAATGGAAGTCTTGATAATTGGTTGTACAGAGAAGAATGCAACTTGAACCTTCTTCAAAGAGTCACCATAATGCTTGATGTGGCAGCGGCAATTGAATATCTACATCATTGTCATGACACTCCGATAGTTCATTGCGACATAAAGCCAGCCAATGTTCTTTTGGATGAAGATATGGTGGCTCATGTTGGTGATTTTGGCATCTCTAAAATTTTAGCGGTAAGCAAATCCATGGCACACACCGAGACATTGGGCACTCTTGGTTACATTGCACCAGGTATACTAGTCTCTTTCTTTTCTCACTTATCATAAATCCTTTCTCTTATCAAAATTTAGTACTTCCGGATTCTATAAATAAATAAAAAGCAAGTACTTGTTACTAAATAATTATTGGTATATATCGGATGAGTAATTGTTTTTCATTTTCGTTCTTTTAAGAATATGGCTCGGAGGGGATAGTGTCCACTAGCGGTGATGTTTACAGCTATGGAATCATGTTGATGGAGGTTCTGGCAAAACGAAGGCCAACAGATGATGAGATATTTAATGAAAATCTTGGCTTAAGGGAGTGGATAAAAAGAGCATTTTCAGGGACAATGATGGAAGTTGTGGATGTCAATCTTTTTCTTGAGGAAGAACAGGTCAATTCTAAAAGTGAAATTTGCATAGCATCCATGATACAATTGGCTTTGGACTGCACAAAGAAAAGGCCAGAATCAAGGATAACCATGAAAGATGTAGTCAAGAGGCTTCACAAAATCAAGAACACATTTTCGGCAACATAGAAGTTAGCATCTCTTAAGGTGGTGTGCTTTCTCAGCTGCAAGTTTATATTGTTAGATAATGAAGCTAGACATAATCTGAATGTAGACATAATCTTATGTATACATAGCTAGCATAATTATAGGGATTCATAGCAGATTTATAGGATTTCCTTTTTTATTCTTTCCATAGTTAGGGCTCTATGTACTTGTATATATACTTGTTACTTCTTGAATACAGCACAAGAAAGATTTCTTTATTATCTCTGTACTTTACATGGTATCAGAGCAGGTCTACTGCTCGTCGGAGTTGAGTCGAATCCGCTGCTGGAAATTCCTTGGCCAGAAGCTAATCTGAGGTCTTTTTGACATTTCCAGTTGACTTGTGGTGGTTCTCTGATCATAGAACCACATTTTGGCAAAGAGCAACCTCAGACCAGATCTTATTCTCACTTTGTTTAGTCAGGTTTGAGTTTGGTTTATTGGTTATTCGATTTCATTAATTCTGTGGTATTTTTTTGGAGGCTGCCTGTGTGAGAAGCTTGCATCTTTATTTTTGACTCGCTGTGGTGATCAATTAGCGACTTGATAGTGTTTGTTGGGTCTTTCCTTATCAGAAACTTTGTTGGTCTCTGATTTTTTTTGAGTTGGGGACAAATTCGTTTGGATCTCTGATTTGGTTGAGTGAATTATTAAAGTTGAATCCTGTTCAATAGATTGTTGATTGGATCTGTTTGGGTAACTTTTAGCTTCAGGGACCTCTTTTAGTTTAATCAGTTTGTTATTGAAAGGAAAAAATGATGGTAAAGAATAATAATGCAACAACTCCTAGTCCAACAATCTTGGTTTCGGATGAGTTTCTAAAATTCCTTCAATATCATAAATCAGTTAAGGAATCTTCTTCAGTTACTGCCTTTGCTGGGTCAGATAAAACATGTCTTATCACCTCTTCCAATAAATGGGTGATCGATTCAGGTGCCACAAATCACATGACAGGTAATCCAAATATTTTTTCTAGTTTTCGCTCACATAAAGCACCCTCTCCGGTTACTGTAGCTGATGGATCAACTTGTAGCACTGTTGGATCTAGGACTGTTAAACCAACTTCCTCTATTACCCTGTCATCTGTATTAAGTCTACCAAACTTGGCCTTTAACTTGATTTCTGTTAGTAAAATTACCAAAGACTTTCATTGTTGTGTTGCATTCTTTCCCGATCATTGTTTGTTTCTAGATCTTAAGACGATGCAGGTTATTGTTAAAGGATATATATATCTGGTGATCTCTACATCCTTGATGAATGGGAGCCACGGTCTGTTGCATGTTCTAGTATCGTGTCTCCTTTTGAAGCACATTGTCGACTTGGACATCCCTCTTTGCCTTTGTTAAAGAAGCTCTGTCCTCAGTTTCAGAATATTTCATCATTGGATTGTGAGTCATGTCGATTTGCAAAACACCATTGCATCTCGTTAAGTCCAAGGGTTAATAAGCGAGCTGAGTCAGCTTTTGAGTTAGTCCATTCTGATGTTTGGGACCATGTCCGGTTGTTTCTAAAACTTGGCATAAGTATTTTGTCACTTTTGTAGATGATTTTTCTCGAATGACTTGGATTTACTTTAAGAAGAGCCGCTCTGAAGTGTTTACTCATTTTTATGCTGAAGTCAAAACTCAAATCAATGCTTCAGTACGTACTCTAAGGAGTGATAACGCTAAAGAATACATGTCAGAGTTATTTCAGTCCTACATGAGACAACATGGTATATTACATCAGTCTTCAGGTGTTGATACACTCTCTCAAAATGGAGTTGCTGAGAGGAAGAATAGGCATCTACTTGAGATAACTCGAGCACTTTTGTTCCAAATGAAGGTTCCTAAACAATTCTGGGCCGATGCGGTTTCTACGACTTGTTTTCTGATTAATCGCATGCCATCTAGTGTACTCGATGGTAATGTGCCTTATAGTGTTCTTTTTCCGAACAAGTCATTATTTCCGATGGAACCTAAGGTGTTTGGAAGCACATGTTATGTTCGAGATGTTCGACCATCTCTTATCAAGTTGGATCCCAAGGTTGTGAAGTGTGTTTTCCTGGGTTATTCTCGCCTTTAGAAGGGGTATCGATGTTATTCTAATGAGCTTGGCTAATATTTAGTGTCAACTGATGTGGTATTTTCAGAGACTACACCATTCTTCTATGCACCTTCCATTTGTACAAGCCAGGGGGAGGAAGATGAGTGGCTAGTATATCAGGTTACCCGTACTTTGCCAGACCAATCAGATGATACTCTTCGATCTCCCAGTTCTTCTATTGAGCACCAATCGACTATTATGCCTTCAGTACCTGCTCCGGCAAGACCTCCAATTGTTCAAGTTTATTCGCGGAGGCGAGAGACAAATGATATATGTCCCGCACCAGTTCCTGCATCATTTGATCCTCCTTTGCGTGATCCTCCATATAACCTTGACCTTCCTATTGCTCTTCGCAAAGGTATACGTACTAGCAAATCGACATATTCTGTTGCTAACTTTGTTTCTTATGACCACTTATCCTCTACATTTAGATCTATGATTGCTTCTCTAGACTCCAGCTCCGTACCCAAAACAGTGAAGGAGGCTTTGAATCATCCCGGATGGTCTGATGCAATGCTTGAAGAAATACATGCTTTAGAGGACAACCACACATGGGATTTGGTAGATTTACCAAAGGGAAAGAAACTAGTGGGATGTAAGTGGGTCTTTATGGTTAAAGTTAATCCAGATGGTTCTGTGGCAAGACTTAAGGCCACACTTGTGGCGAAAGGGTATGCTCATACTTATGGGGTGGATTATTCTGACACCTTTTCCCCGGTTGCCAAACTCACTTCTGTCCGCTTATTTATTTCTCTAGTTGCATCGGAGAATTGGCCTTTACATCAATTGGATATCAAGAATGCGTTCCTTCATGGTGATCTTCAGGAGGAAGTGTAGATGGAGCAACCGCCCGGTTTTGTTGCTCAGGGGGAGTATGGGAAAGTCTGTCATTTGAAGAAGTCCTTGTATGGCTTGTAGCAGAGTCCACGAGCTTGGTTTGGCAAGTTCGGTGAGGTAGTTCAGGAGTTTGGGTTGAAAATGAGTAAGTGCGATCACTCACTCTTCTATCGGAAATCAGTAGCTGGCATTATTCTCCTTGTTGAATATGTTGATGATATTGTTATCACAGGAAGTGACTATGCGGGGATTTCTTCCCTGAAGTCTTTTCTGCATACTAGGTTTCATACAAAGGACTTGGGCCAGTTGAAATACTTTTTGGGAGTAGAAGTAAATAGAAGCAAGAAGGGAATTCTTTTGTCTCAGAGAAAGTACATTCTTGACTTGCTTGCAGAAACTGGAAAGTTGGCAGCTAAACCTTACAGTACTCCAATGGTTCCTAATGTGCATCTTATGAAAGATGATGGTGATCCTTTTGACGATCCAGAGAGATACAGGAGGTTAGTTGGGAAATTAAACTACCTCACTGTGACTCGTCCAGATATTGCTTTTGCGGTAAGTGTTGTTAGCCAGTTCATGTCTGCACCAACGGTCAAACATTGGGCAGCTTTGGAACAGATTTTGTGTTACTTGAAAGGAGCTCCTGGACTTGGCATATTATATAGCAATCACAATCATACTCGTATTGAGTGTTTTGCAGATGCTGACTGGGCTGGATCGAAAATTGATAGAAGATCTACTACAGGTTATTGTGTCTTTGTTGGAGGAAACCTGGTATCATGGAGGAGTAAGAAGCAAAGTGTTGTATCTCGATCCAGTGCAGAATCCGAGTATCGAGCTATGTCACAGTTTACGTGTGAGATTATGTAGATACATCATCTGTTGACTGAAATTGGGTTAGAGCATCCGATACCAGCAAAACTCTGGTGTGACAATCAAGCTGCCCTCCATATTGCGTCAAATCCGGTGTATCATGAAAGAACTAAGCATATTGAGGTTGACTGTCATTTTATTCGTGAGAAGATTCAGGAGAACTTGATCTCCACTGGCTACGTGAAGACATGAGAGCAACCGGCTGATTTGTTCATAAAGGCGTTGAATGGAATTCGAGTTGTTTACCTTTGTAACATGGCATGATCAATATCTATGTTCCAGCTTGGGGGAGTGTAATATAAAAAATGTAGACATAATCTTATGTAATATACATAGCTAGCATAATTATAGGGATTCACAGCAGATTTATAGGATTTCCTTTTTGATTCTTTCCATAGTTAGGGCTCTATGTACTTGTATATATACTTGTTACTTCTTGAATACAACACAAGAGAGATTTTTTTATTGTCTCTGTACTTTACAAATATGTTGCTTTTTTAAAACCTAGTTTCTTAATGAAGTTGTCCCTACTACTTGTCCAGTACTTACTGTGTGTACTTGAGACTGTTGTATTCCTTCATGTTGTAATTTCATATCTGAATGGTTTGGAACCTAATAATATGAATGTGTATAGTTGCACTATTTTGTTTTCTGTTTGCAAGCTTATCTCTTCCACCTCTTTTATTCTCTTCTTCATATTTTTTGTTTCATTAATTAGCTTCTTCCTTTGTATTCAATAATTAAAAAAACATTTTTAAAAGGGTTAAACCTCCAAGTTTATACACTCAACACAATCACTAATTGTTTAACACGTTATGACTGTGTTAATATCTAAGCAGCTTTATAGTCACAATTTTTGACAAATCTCCTTTACAAAGGGAGATAAGGTTGGAGGCCTGTTCTATCTGAGAAAAATAGTCTTCTTGAAGTGAATATTGATGTTCAGTAATTGAGAAATATCCTCCCAATTAGGGAACAATTTCATGTTGTCCTTGAGCCGAGGCTCTTCTGAAGCAGCCTATCTACCTCCACAGGGTAGGAGTAAGGTCTGCGTATACACTATCGTCCCCAGACCCCACTTATGGAAATTATACTAGATATATTATTGTTGTCGTTTTCATGTTGCAGAAAAAATGGTTCATTAGCTGAGTAATATTGAAAAAAATCTGCTCTATAGAGCCCTTGACATAGGTTCTTTATGTTCTGAATTTAGCACGACATCTTTGAATGTTGGAGTTATTTATCCAAAGGAAGAGGGATCAATTCCCACTAAATACTTTCTTTTTTTCTCCTTTCTTTAGTGATGCACCCATGTTCTAGAAAATTCTAAATCCGCCTCGACACCTTGATCTTCGTATTTCCCAGGATGCTACAGTTGGTAAGCACTTAACAATAAGAGAATTAACTGGATTTTGAACCTTGTAGCTACACCAAGATGAAAATTAGTGGAGTGGATACAGCTTGAATTAGTACTGTAATTTTCATCTTTGATTTTTTCATGCTATGCTACATAAAAATATGTGTTGCAAACTCTTTGTCTATAAGGAAGTAATTTACCCCCCCCCCCACCCCACCCCACCCCACCCCACCCACACACACACAATCTCACCAAATCACTCTGTTAATTAACTGACAAAAAAAAAAAAAAATGAGAGCAAAATGGTTGTGCTTATTGCATTCATCTTTTCCTGCTTCAGTATTAGCTTCTTTTTGTTCCCTGGAAACAAAATTGATTAACATCTTAATAGGTTCAGTGTTTTTTTTGGTTTGGTTTCTAACCCGGTGTCCGTTATTCGCATTGGAGCTCAACTAAATTCGGATTCGCTCCGGGAAGATCCGCATTGGGGGACAACGCGCTCCCTAACAAAGGCGACTCTATATCCAGGCTCGAACCCGAGACATTTGGTTAAGGATGAAGGAGTATTTCCCACTTCGCCACAACCCTTGTTGATAGTTTGGTGAGTGTTTTAAAACTACACATATGATATTAATTTTATTAAATATTAAAATTTCAAGTATTTCTTGTTTTTGTCGTAGCTGAAAGAAAGTGTCTGCCCCCTTCATTCCCTGTAATATTTGTGTCGCTATTATTATACAGTATTGGCTTTAAATTTTGACATGAAATTGATTGCCTCAACAAAGCAGAGTAGTCCAGACTCCAGTGTATTATCGAGATCATGAAATGAACTGAGTGCACAAGAATAAGGTTCGTGCCCTAGGTAAAAGTTGCATGGGCCGTCTTATTTGGTCGTCCCTTTTTAATTTATACTCGTTTTGTTTTTCCGTTTACATCCGTACCCATTTTTTTGTTAAAAGCATTTTAAAAAGACGATTTTGCCCTTCTTTAATAAAAGACTATTGACAAAACTGTAGACTGCAGGACAAAACTTCAGCATGTTTGGGTATGAAGTTTTAGGAAGAACTAAATAACTTCAGCATGCATTAGAAAAAAATCATTAGAAAAGTACATACTGTAGGACAAAACCTTAAGCATGTTTAGGCTGAAGTTTTAGCAAATGAACTAAAAAACTTCAGCTTGTTTACTGAAATTTCGGATAAAACTCAGGACAAAACTGTAGACTGCATTACAAAACTTCAGCATGTTTTGGTATGAAATTTAGCAAATGAACTAAATAACTTCAGCATGCATTGGCAAAAACTCTTTAGAAATTACATATTGCAAGACAAAAACTTAAGCATGTTTAGTCTGAAGTTTTAACAAATGAACTAAAAAACTTAAGCATGTTTAGTCTGAAGTTTTAGCAAATGAACTAAATAATTTCAGCATCCATTAGCAAAAACTCATTAGAAAATTACATACTGCAAGACAAAAACTTAAGCATGTTTCTGAGATTTTAGCAAATGAACTAAATAACTTCGCATGTTTAGACTGAAGTTTCGGATAAAACTCATGACAAAACTATAGACTGCAGGATAAATAACTTCAGCATGCATTAGCATGAAGTTTTAGCTTCAACGTGAAACAACTTCATGCTATATTAGCATGAAGTTTAGCTTCAACATGAAACAACTTTATGCTACATTAGCATGAAGTTTAATTTTAGCTTCAACGTGAAACAACTTCATGCAAGTGTGATTCTGAAGATGAATCTGGACAAGCTGCAGGTTTTTTGATAAAGGTGCTGAGAGGAGAGCAGGAGATCTTTTTTCATGAATGAGGTTGCAGATCACGCGATTAATGCGTGATGCAGGTTTTATATCTTTTTTCAGGGGTGTAATTATCATATTATTACCGATTTTTTGTCAGCTGGCTACCAAATCAATAATTTTTAAAAATAGGGTACAGGTTAAAAGGTGACACAAATATAAGATACGACTGCAAATCCACCGTGCCCTAGCCCGTAGGAATCAAGAGTGTGGCTTAATAGTCAATAAAGTTGGAATCAAGATCGTGGAAGACCATGGTCCGGATCCTAATAAAGGGAAAAAATTAAGTGATTTCTTTTCTTCTACCTAAATATTGATATATAAATTTACTTTTACCTGCATTGGCCATATATTCATACTTGCAGGGGTAGAGGCAGAAGTCGAGCTACAGGTTCAATCGAACCCAATAGATTTTGCTCAAATAGTACATTTCTATTAAGAAATTCATTAAATATGTATAAATATTAAATTTGAAATTCAGTCATTAGCACTTGAAGTTATTGTTCTTAAATGTAGAATACATATATTGAAATCCTGGGGGTTTAACTCAAATATTGATGTAGGTGCTAATTAGAATATTATAAATGACCATATTAGTAGGTAATAAAATGTTGATTTTCTTTAGTAGTTCAAGCTAAAATGTATAATTTTAAATACATATACTGTTCAACAGAAGCCTAAAATTAAAATGATAGGTCCAAATTTCCACGTCAATAGCAAGTTTCTGTGCAACAAAATTGTTTGAATGTACTTGTGTCTTGCTGTTCACATGGGCTATCAAACAGCCAAAATTTTGAATGTATCATTCTCAGTTGTAGGTAATTTTTAAAATGCTTTCCAGCATAAAGCTGAGCTGGATTGATCTGCAAACAAAGTACAAATGATTGGAAGGATCCAAGAATTTATTTATTATTATTGAGCTATTGAGGAAGAAGGTTAATGCACATGCAAGCAGTTGGATGATTCTAGAAGAACAAGAGAGAGATCGAGCTCAAAGTGAAGCCATTTTCAATATCTGTAAGATGAACAAAATGAGTCTCAAAAAAAGAAGCTGACAGCTAATCCCTATATATATACAAACCTCAACTAACTAACCACCAAAAATCAGACCAAGTTACAAGTTTCTACTTATACACTTTGACCCCTAAACTAATATGCTATGTTACGTTAGTTCAATACTCCCCCTCAAGCTGGAGGGGAGAAAGAGATTCTTCACTCCTAGCTTGCCAAGTAAATGATCATGATGAGTTCTGCCCAGCCCTTTAGTTAGTATATCTGCAACAGTTTTGATTATTCCAGCTTTCATCTTCTCTCTAATAAAGTGCCAGTCCATATCTATGTGTTTTGTACGGTCATGAAACATAGGATTGGCTGTAATTTGTATTGCTGCTTTGCTATCACACATCAAGGTGACTAGCCTTTTGATCTCAATTCCTAGTTCACTGAATAAACATGTCAGCCACACTATCTCTGCTGCTGCTGAAGTCATGCTTCTAAACTCTGCATTTGCTGAACTTCTTGCAACAATTTCTTATTTCTCTGACTTCCAAGAGATCAAGGCATCACCATAGAACACTAGATAACCTGTTACTGACCTCCTTGTTTGTAAACGTGCACCCCAATCTGCATCACCGTATGCTAATAACTATCCATCCTTTTCTGTTCGCAATAAAAGACCCTGACTTGGAGCAGTCTTGATGTATCTCGTCACTCTGGTGTAGCATCTAGATGAGATTATTTAGGAGCATGCATGAACTGACTAAGTGTCTGTACATCATAAGAGATATCTAGTCGAGTCATTGTCAGTATAGTAGTCTGCCAACAAGCCTTTGAGACACACTTGCATCTTTTAAAGCCGAATCATTGTCTGCAACACCTGCTTGTGCTACTGCTTTATCAAACTCTATAGAAGTCAACTTTTGATTAACCTCTAGAGGAGTACTAGCTGTCTTTGACCCTGCCAAACCAAGTTCAGCTATCAACTCCAAGGCATATTTTCTTTTGCTCATATATATGCATTTGGACGACCTTGCAAATTCAATTCCAAGGAAAAACTTCAGCTCCCCTATGTCTTTCATTTTGAAGAACTTCTGTAGTTGTGCTCTAGTTTTATCAATCAACTCGGAATGACTACCAGTGACTAACAAGTCATCTACAAAGATGAGAACATGCACCTGACTACAACCTTCCTTTTAGTGAAGACAGAGTCATCATAGTGACTCTGTGTGAAGCCCATTTTGTGTAAGGCATCTGTGAGCTTAAGGTTCCACTTCTTGGAGGCTTGCTTGAATCCATATAAGGACTTGTAAAGTCTGCAGACTGGATACTCCCCTGCCTTTCAGTGGTGTGAGAGAAACCAGGATGAAAATAATGCCTTGAAGAAAGGCATTATGAACATCCATCTAGTAGATAAGTCAGCCATGATTTGCAGCTAGTGCAATGATGGTCCTGACAGTGACCCTTTTTGCTATAGGTGAGAAGGTATCTATGTAATCCAACCCCTCTTGTTGTGTGTAGCCCTTAGCCACTATTCGAGCCTTTTATCTTTCAACCTCTCCATTAGCTTTATACTTGATCTCGAACACCCATGTATAACTAATAGGGTGCTTACCAGGAGGTATTGGGACTATACTCCATGTCTCATTATCTTTCCAAAGCTTGAAGTTGCTGACACCCACTTAAGATCCTTGACTGCCTCTGAGAGAGAGCTGGGCTCAACCTCGACTGAGTAAGCTACAAGGCATTGATTATAGGCAGGCTTAAGTGCTTGATAACTAAAAAAGTTAGAAATAGGATAAGTGCAAGGCTTGCTCTTGCCGGCAGTCTTCTCAACTACATAATCATTCATCCATATAGAAGGCCTAGTAGGCTTCCTAATGCCATCAACAGTTGATTCATCATCATCAGAAGTAGGAAGAACATCTGTGAAGGGACTTGGAGTAGTGTGACTTGCAGAACTCTCATGAAGAGCATCAATGGATGGACTCTGTGGTGGAGTGGCATCGGCAGAACCATCCAAGTATCCCAATTCAGGTGATGAAGTATTCTGTGATTTAATGGAGTGGTTATGTGAAATGAGAACAGAATCATCAGAGTCATAGTTAGGAGCTATCACAGGGAATTGTTGGTCCTGCATGGTGCTATTCATTTGCTGTAGAAAAGGAAATACATCCTCTTTGAAGATAACATCTCTGCTCGCAAACATGCAGTGGTTGTGCAAGTCATAGAGTTTGTAACCCTTTTGCACCAATGAGTAACCTAAAAACACAGTTGGTACTGCTCTAGGTAAACACTTGTGTTGCCTTTTAAGCTTTGCAGCATAAGTCAGACAACCAAATACTCTGAGATGGTCCAGGGAGGCATTATTGTGAAACACTAGCTCAAATGGAGATTTGCCAGATAAAATTCTAGAAGGAACTCTATTAATCAAATACACAACTGTTAAGATAGACTCACCTCATAATTTTAAGGGCTGTCCAGCCTGAAATCTTAAATCTCTTGCAAGTATCCAAAATGTACTTATGCCTTCTCGCAACAACTCCATTCTGTTGAGGAATATATGGACATCTCATGTCTTATCCCCTCAGAATGCAAAGTCTATCAACTGCTTGTAAAATACTCTCCTCCATTATCTGTCCTTAGTGTTTTAGGAGTAGTGGAGAATTTATTTCTTGGCAAGGAGATAAAATGTTTCAAAATCTTTTGTGTTCATAAGGCATATCCATGTATATCTACTAAAATCATCATCAAGAGTTAAGAAATATCTCTTACCATCAAAATTTGGAACCTTAAAGGGCCTCCAGACATCTGCATGAATAAGATCAGCAAAAACGTCACTCCTACTACTGCTAATAGGAAAAGGCAATCTTGTCTGCTTAGCTAGAGGGCATATTGTGCGGTGTTCATTGCAATCAACAAATGTCTTATTATGAAATGCTAGTAATCTCTTCAAAGCATCTAAAGAAATATGGCCAAATCTTTTATGCCACAAAGAGCCACTTATTCTATTTACTACCAAGGCAGATGTGACAACACCATTTGGGAACTTGAAAATTGGCTTGTGGTTGAGATCCAACACATAGAGTCCTTCCTCCAGTTTATCAATCCCATTCACCTTCCCGTTGCAAATGTCTTGAAGGCACACCAATCAGGAAAGAAGCATACAGTGTCCCTTGTAAGTTCTGAAACAGACAGTAAATTGTACCTAAATAGTGTTACATATAGGACATTTTTAATTGGCAAACCATTTAGAATACTAGAGGACCCTAGGTGTGTAATTCTACTAGTTTTACCGGTTGGCAATTATACTTTCTTGCCTTCTACTTTAGAGACCTCCATAAAATCAGTGAAAAAATCCAGACTAGAAACCATATGGTTAGTGGCACCTGAGTCTATGATCCACCTATCCTGCTTAACTCTGCTCAAAAGTGACAATGGTATACCTCTAACCTTTGCATGTGATGTTGTCTCAATAGGTCTTGTGCTCTGGTAAAGCAGTTGAAGTAGTTGTTTGTATTGCTCCTCTATGAAGAAATTCCCTGTAGTTGCAACTCCAAAACTTCCCTGATATGTAGGTCTTTTGGAGTAGTCAACTTGTGCATAGTGTGGTGCTGTTATGTTTCTTCCAAAAGATTTCTTCTTTGGCGTCAGATGGGTAACCTACTAACTTGTAACAAACATCTTTAGTGTGGCCTTTTAACTTGCAATATTCACAGAATACCTGAGCTTTCTGCTTGTAGCCACCAGTAAATCCTTGTCCGGCGTTGTATATCACAGCTCCAGCTCCCATCTCCAAGCCACTAGCTTTCATTGTCTTTGCTCGTTAACTCTCATCCCGAACCACCATTCCATAGGCTTCATTGATAGTAGGTGTAGAAATCATCAGCATGATCTGACCCTTTGCTTGGGCAAATGACTCATTGAGTCCACTCAGAAATTGCACCAACCACTGCTACTGGATGTGCTCTAGAAACACATTTGATTCTGGACATGGACATGATGGAGTAGGGGCCATAACATCATACTCATCCCACAAATCCTTCAGCTTGGAATAGTAAGTGGACACAGGTGATAATCCCTGCTTTAGAGCAGCAATTTCCTAAAGTAAATTGCAAATCCGCAATATGTTCTTTTTATCGAATCTCTCCTTGAAATCTTCCACACATTATATGCAGAAGATGCATAAATTACACTGCTATACAATTCCTTTGTTACTGCATTCATAATCCATGATAAAACAAAGGCATTGCTCATTTCCATTGATTATGAAGATCCTTCTTAAAATTCTCCTTGCTACAAGTACCGTCAACAAATCCAATTTTGTTCTTTGTAAAAACTCCAATTCTCATGGATCGACACCACAAATTGTAATTTTCAGTGCCTAATAGTTTGAATTCAATCGGATGCTCACCTGGCGAATCTGAAGGTCACAAATGCAGAGGATGATGGTGACCTAGTACCGAGTGATCATTCGTTCCTTCACCAATCGCATTTTACTTTGAGTTGAAACCCCTAGCTCTGAAGTTGAGGTCGTCAATGGAGAAGAACACTGAATCGGAGAATAGAACTGGCTAGCGGATCTTAATCGAGGGCTCTGATACCATATTGAGCTATTGAGGAAGAATGAGAATGCACATGCAAGCAGTTGGATGGTTCTAGAAGAACGAGAGAGAGAGAGAGAGAGGAGCCATTTTCAATATCTGTAAAATGAACAAAATGAGTCTCAAGAAGTATATGTATATATATATATATATATATATATATATATATATATATATATATATATATATATATATATATATATCAACTAACTAACCGCCTAAAACCAAATTAAGTTACAAGTTTCCACTTATACATTTTGACCCCTAAATTAATGTGCTATGCTACGTTGGTTCAATATTTATCAGTAGTAATTGGAGAATTATTGAAAGTATCTAAGAACACCAACATCACCTAAATATGTATTCTAAGTGATCGATCTAAACCAAAACCAGAGAGGGTTCAAGGACACTTGAAATCTGTAGCTAAACATGCATCACGTTGATTATTATACTCAATACGAACTTTTACACTATAAGTGTAACTTAATAAAGGGGAGTCTTGAAGCAACGGTAAAGTTATCTGTGTGTAACGTATAGGTTACAGGTTCAAACCGTCGAGTCAGTCACTCTGATGAATGTTAGGCTGCCTACATCACACCCCTTGAGGTTGCGGCTCTCCTCGAATCTTGCATAAATGCGGGATACTTTGTACATGGGTTGTGTAAATCTTTTACACCATCAATGCATAAACTTAAATTCGCGTTTTTATTCTTTCAAGTTGCCCAACTTCACATATGTGGTCGATATTTGAGAAGGAATCAACCTGCCGCAACGTATGGATGAAAACCTAGACCCACTTGACATTTAGAACTTCAAAGAATTAATCAGTGCCAACTCTTATTTTTTTTCTTTTTACATTGTGTCAACCCCATTCAATGCCTTTTTGTAAGGGTCAAAGGACAAATTTAGTAGCTTCAGATACTGCAACTCTGCAAGTCAACCAAGCACAAGTTCACATTCAAAGACGTTGCAAAAATCTGTATCTGCACATGTCTGCATATTGGAGGAGACATCAACGACCCACACAACAAAACTGGTAGCCAATGAAGCACTTAGGTTTTTATATTGCAACTACATGGAATGCAGGAGCACAAGAGACTTGTGGATCAAGCCGTTCAGTTAAGAATCCTAACACTAGTTTTGCAAGTCACGTGAATCAAGCTATAAAGTTTGGAAAAGCAGCACAAAAAGTGTAAGTGCCAGCTTTAATCATCAAGAAGAATGCTTTAACATATCAATTAAAGTAGCTAGTATCAGGCATTATTTTGCCTTTGGCTAGTCAGAGTTTCTGAGTTCTGATGCTGGAAACACTTTCATATAGTAATTGCTAAAGGGTAAAGAGCAGTCTATCAGAGTTGGTACTAAAAAACCTCTAATATTGTTACCAACATTGTAGCATTTGACGTTTCAAATTTCAAACCCATAATTCATCAGAGAATCTTGACTAAACCAGACAGCTAGCCAATGAGAAGTTGCCGCCCCAACTGAAAAGTTTATTCAATGAACAAGGCAAGGGCAGTGATGGGACTCCTTTTATTAGGTAAAATGACAGTACAAGTGTGCACATTATGCATGGTAACACTTTAAAGTGAGGCAGATAGCAACATCCGGAGATTTGCCAACCAAGAAACAGAGCAAAAAGTTCTTCCCAAGGATTGATACATAGATCTATCATCTATCCTACAGTAATTGTGAATACTACTACCAAATTACAAAAGAAAAAGTACTATTTGGACAGACGGGACGTTATTTGGTAGTACTATCTGAGGAGAGTATGTTAATGCAACATAAAGGATGTGTCTCAAGAAAATTCAATCTTGACTTGATACAAAGTCACTAAGCACATATCCATGTGAATACAAGATGGAGTAGGCAATCAAAATGCTGAATCAAAAGGGAGATCAAATCAGCAACGCCCCATTCCTTAAAGAAAATGGACATACAAAATGATAATTTGCTCCGTAAAAACAAGAATTCATTTCCACGAAATAAGAGAGTTTCACTGGAGCATCCAAATACAAGGGAAATACTGAGAAAAAAAGTAATCTTTGCTGAAAACAACAAATTGCAAGAAACAGTGCTTTTAGGTATTACAATTCAGGGAATTCAGAACTACACAAACAGCAAATTTCGATCAATGAGCAAAGTCCATAGGATTTCAATCCTAAGCAAAGAGGCTTCACTCACATTACTGCTGCTCCTCTGCTTTTGATGGTTCTTTGATCTCATCAGTTCCATCATCCTGAAGAAGAGAAGCCAACAAGATATGGATTAGCCGAACTATCAAAGAAGAACAAATAAACAAATCCAATAAATAAGAGAACACAAGAACTTACCTGCATATCCGAGGTCCACAAAGTGAGGTTATCACGAAGAAGTTGCATAATCAAAGTGCTATCCTTGTAGGACTCCTCACCAAGGGTGTCAAGCTCCGCAATAGCCTCATCAAATGCCTTTTAAACAGCCATACAAACCATAAACATCAGTAGATAACATCTTTTTTTCTTTTAGAGAAGTCCTTTGAATGTTCTAAAACAAGAAATACAAAAAATTTATTACCTGTTTGGCGAGATTACAAGCACGATCAGGAGAGTTCAATATCTCATAGTAAAACACTGAGAAATTGAGAGCTAGCCCCAACCGGATCGGATGTGTAGGGGCTAATTCAACATTAGCAATATCCTGAAAAGGATAGAAAGATGTCAACTTCATGCTTCCACGACATAATACTACATTGTTTAGCACAAATAAAAAATTCTCCTTTGATGACAACTTTCAAAATATTTTACTTCATGTCCTAATTTACCTGACACTCCTTCCTTTTAAGTTTGTGCCAAAAAATTGCACCTTTCTATATTTAAAAACAATTTAACTTCTCATTTTCCACTAATGAGATGATTTCTGGCTATATAAATACTTATGGCATGTTTTCGACCTCGACTTCTAAGGTCTTTCTTTCTTAAACTACGTGCTTAGTCAAACAACATCACATAGAATGGAACTGAGTATATTGTTTAGCATAAGAAATTTTTTCCATTGACATTTCAATTATGGAGTATAAAAATTGTGATCTTTATGCAATTTTTAATTTTGAGACACATACAACATCGCCATTCTTTTGAAGAGCTGAAATCGTATCAGATTTTTCTCCAAAATTAGCGAAATGATAAAGAATGAAACCCTAACCTGAGCCGACTTGTAAGCCGAAAGGGTATTCTCGGCGGCTTCTTTTCTCTCAGCTCCGGTTTTGAACTCAGCCAAGTACCTGTAATAATCTCCCTTCATTTTCAAATAGAAAACCTTAGAGTCACCGGTAGCAGCGGTGCCAATGAGTTTTGAGTCGAGCAACTTAAGGATACCGTTACAGATCGAAGTCAATTCAGATTCGATCTTAGATCTGTAGGTTTTAATGGAGGCCACGTGATCTTCGTTACCGCGACTCTCCTCTTTCTGCTCAATCGATGAGATTATGCGCCACGACGCTCTCCTCGCTCCGATCACGTTTTTGTACGCGACGGAGAGAAGGTTGCGTTCCTCCACGGTGAGTTCGTCGTCGCCGGCGCCGACGACTTTCTCCATGAACTCTACCATCTCCTCGTAGCGTTCGGCTTGCTCAGCAAGCTTCGCCAGGTACACGTTCTCTTCGCGTGGCGATGCCATTGATGGTTTGTGTGCTAGAGAAAGAGAAAGGAAGAGATTTTAGAAAGAGAAAGTTGAGAGAATGTGGACAGAGAGCAGTTTTTGGGGTTCTCCTCCTATTTTGGTTTTATTCGTCTGTAAATGGGCAGATTTTGGCTTCGTGGGCCGGGCTTCCGGTTAGGAGTACTTCATTTGGGCCTCCGAAACTTAATTAATGATTTTTTTTACAAAAAGCACTTTTTTAATATTTTAAAAAAAAAAGTTACATTAATGAGTACTTCGCAGTTTTATACTGCGAATAGAGTTAACGGAATTTTTGTCGTTAAAGCAATTCGCAGTATAATATTGCAAAATATTAAAAAAATAACTTTTTTTTATGCAATTCGCAGTATAATACTGCGAATTGCTTGAGATGGGCCCAGCTCATTTTTCAAATAGCATTTCGCAGTATTATACTGCCAATTAGACTGAATTTAGGCCCCACCAATAATTAATTGACATAACAATAATTCAAATACGTAAAACGCAGTATAATACTGCGAATTACTTTGAAAAATTGTACACCCCAAGCTCGGACTTGCCTTATTTATAGACGTTTCAATTTTATAAAAATTCATTCAACACTTAAACTTCAAACATACGTTCATTATTCTCTCTTCTCCTTATCAATCAATTTTTTACAATGTCTGAAGTGCCAAAAATAAGGGTTTCACTGTATTGGGGGGGTGAGGTTGTGGTGGAGAATAACTCTGTGAGGTATAGCTCACCTCCACAGTGTCATGTTAAATTGCCGTTTAATATGGAGTACGATACATTGGTATCGTTGTTACGTAAAAAAATGAGTGAGCGGAGGCGTTCGGTTAGCCTTAAAGTAACCGGTAGATTTCCTTATTCAGTGACTCCGCAGGGGTTTGCTTATTATTCTGAGTTTAACATCGAGGATGATGAAACTCTTAGAGATTTTTTGCGGATTCCGGACGAATACAGGGAATTTATTGTAATAAAATTATTGGAAATGTACGTGAAGGTGGAGGACCTTCCTAGTAATGAGGGCGTGCATAGCAGGGATAACCCCCAGTCATCGGGTGTTATTCTGGAGCAGCTTTTGCCGGACAGATTGCAGATGAAAGAGCTTGCCTTGATTTAAACTTGTCACCACAGGCGGATAAGCAGCCACAAAATAATTTTTCCACTTTATATAATCAACAAGACGACTGGTAAACTTCAATTTTACTACGCTTTAGCGATGTTTTTTTTTTGTTTTAATTGGATTTGTATTAACACTCATATTTTTTATAGGGGGTATCGTCCGGATTTGAATTTTACAAGTTATGACCCCGCCCCTAGTTGGAATATGGGCAGTTCTGGAGTAATGGACCACGGTGGTCCATCTGGTAGTTATCACCAACATGAAAATATCCATCATGAAACGTCAAGACAATACGATTTGTAAGTAAAGTGATATAGCGATATCTAAAGTATTTTTCCTGAGTATTGGGTAACTTATGTATTTGTTCTTTTTGTGCAGTGAAAACGAGCTTCTTGAAGCTCCTGGCCTCACACAGTTGCCCATAGACGACGTTTTTACTCGTGATTTGGCAGATGCGCAGAGTCAGGAGGATGATAGTGATTATGACAACAATGCGGATGAGTCTGGGGATGACACACCCTTCCATGATGAGGGGGATGATGAGGAGGAGGAAGTGAATGTTGAACCTGAGCTGACCAGGGAGCATGTTCCTCCACCTCCCGCTAGACCAAGAGTGTATGAGTTCCACGTGCCATTTCATGAGCGAAATATTCCCTACCTTGATAATTTGCCAAGCATGCCTAACGTCGATGCCCTCACAAGGGATGATGATGAATTACGGTCAGTGATGTGGGATGAATCTAGACCAGCTGTTCTTACAAAGGGCATGTATTTCCCCAATAAAGCTCGCCTAATTAGGGCTGTAAAAATCTACAGTATAAGAGAGTGTCGTGAGATGACGGTAAGTGAGTCAACTACGGAGAAATACAAGGTTGTATGCCGTAGGTGGTTTATGGGTTGTCACTGGATGCTGCGTGCCACAAAGAAGAAATCAGGTTTGTGGAAAGTGGGTAAATTTGTTAGCGAGCACAGATGTGAAATGGACACATTCAATGAGAATCACTTCAACTTGGATGTGGACTTGATTTCCCTTGTCTTGATTCCATTTTTGGAAGTGTCCATTAGGTTCAAGATTAAAGAGTGTATTACAGCCGTCCACCAGGAGTATGGTTGTACTATAACCAAAAGAAAGGCATATCTCGGTCGCAAACGTGCCTTTGAACTTATTTATGGTGACTGGGATAAGTCTTTTTCAAATCTGCCCAGGTACATGGCTGCACTGCAACACTTTAACCCCGGGACTGTTGTTGAATGGAGGCGTGAGCGGAATCCGGACAGACCGGGATATATTTTCAACTATGTATTTTGGTCATTTAAACCAGCAATTGATGGTTTTGTGCATTGTCGTCCTGTAATTTCCATAGACGGTACTCATGTCTATGGAAAGTATGATATTAAGCTTTTGATTGCAGTTGCAGTAGATGCTAACGGACAAATATTTCCACTAGCTTTTGCCATTTGTGCCAACGAAAGTGAAGAGACGTGGACGCAGTTCTTGAACCACTTGAAGCAGCATGTTTTCAAACAGCGTTAAGGTATTTGTCTAATATCTTATCGGCATGGTGGTATTTTAAGTTCTGTACGTCACTTGCCTGAATGGCATGAACCATATGCATACCACCGTTACTGTGTGAGGCACCTGAAGGCCAATTTCCAGAAGAAATTTCCTGACAAGGCATTGCATGACTTAATGTGGATGGCTGCAACTGAGCACCAGCAGTGCAAATTCACGAGGCACATGGAAACGATCCGGCAAATAGAACCACGAGCCTATACTTGGTTGATGCAACATGACCTTCAAATGTGGACATTGCATGCTGATGGCGGCAGACGATGGGGAGCCCTGACTACAAATGTGTCAGAGTCATTCAACGGCTTGTTGAAGTCTGCCCGTGGACTGCCTGTCACTTTCATGGTCTGCATGACATTCAAATAGAGTGCAGAGAGGTTTGTTGAAAGGCATGCAACTGCATTGGCATTGATGGACAGGGGTGTTGAATTTATGCCAATGCCCATGACAAGATTTGAAAGGTACAGGAGGCGAGCACAGTGGCATTCATTTCTTCAGTATGATCATGAACGGGGTGTTTTTGAAGTTAAGACCGCTGTCAACGGACACCGTGGGAATAATCTACAGACGGTGAATGAAAATAGAAGGTTATGTTCATGTGGGAAATGGACCATCTACCACATACCATGCGCACATGCGTTGAAGTGCTTTCAACAAGTTGTATATGGGGCAACAAACTATATTGATAGGCGATACAGTGTTGCAGCATACGTAGACACGTATAGTGGGAAGTTGAATCCATTAGGTGCTGAGCATTATTGGCCGCCGGAACCTTTAAGTTGGTATGTAACAAGGACTATTTGCGCAAGCTGAAAGTGCAAAAGAGAACGCGTATACGGAACCAAATGGATGTTGGTGAGTCCGTTTATGCGCGTAAATGTGGCATATGCTCTCAAACTGGACATGACCGTCGTAAATGTCCTTCAGGTGGTGGGCGTGCCGGTGGTAATCCTGGTGCAACTTCGTCCAATGTACCCAACTATCAAGGATACCCCTAGTCCTTTATTTTGGTATTATTTTTTGTAATACATGTCTGTATTTTTGTTTGTTTCAATATATATGAAATAAAATAAATCTCCACAATCCTGTTGCATGTTATTTTTTAACGTTATATTTTGATATGGTTGGAGCAATATTGAGGTATGAGTGTTACTAAACATGAGCAAGAATGTGGTATAAAAAAAATTTCGTTATGAAAAAGCTGAAAAGTATGTGCAAACACTGCTTTGTTTCAGAACAATTGAATTTGTAATTCGCAGTATTATACTGCGTTTTATTGAGTTGTCATTTCGTTCTGAAAAAGCTGAAAAGCATGTGAAAACCCTGTTTCGTGTAAGAGAAACATAAAATGTAATTCGCAGTATTATACTGCATTTTTGTTTGCAATCTTGACTATAAATAACGATTGCATGGTACTTATATTCTTCGCTTAACAATAACCAAAATTTCTCTATAAAAAATGTCTGAACAAAACGTTTATGTCCCAAGGTGCTACTGCGGAGAAAAATGCAGTTTGTTCAAATGGTATCCAGAAGGTGCACGCCGCTACTGGCATGTAAGAACCTCGAGGAGTTACCCGGCAAGCCTACATGTGAATTTGAGGCTTGGATGGACGAACCATGTAAGCAGAAGCGCTACAAAGAAAGAATTTATGAGCTTCATTGTTTATGTAATAACCAAGCGGTAAAGGAGCACCGAACCAATGATGAACTTGAGGCGTTGAAGGGCAAACTCAACGAGGCAGAAGAAGAGAAAAAAAAGCTGAAAGAGCAACTCGAGTGGATGGAGCAAATTATAGAACGCAATCGTGATTAAATAGTGGCTTGTAAGTCATAAGCGTAGTAGTGTATTTTCAGGGTGCCCCTGTCATGTGTTTATAGCAGTTGTACTGTCATGTATCTTTAGATTTCAGGCTTTTGTGGTTATGTTTCATGTTCAAATTCTGTTTCAATAAAAATGTTGTTGTAATTGTGTTGTTGTCATTAAATACATAATGTTCAAACCCTGTTTCGTGCCAAACAAATTTATAATGTTATGTCGAGAAATGCAAATCTAAAGCTGTCATGTCGAAATTTAAAATATTATGTCGAAAAATGCAAATGTAATGAGGAAAATGAAGTTTGTTTAGTTGTCATTTCGTTCTGAAAAAGCTGAAAACCATGTGAAAACCCCGTTTCATGTCAGAGAAATTTAATATGTACTTCGCAGTATTATACTACGTTTTGCGGAGTTGTCATTTCGTTCTGAAAAAGATGAAAACCATGTGAAAACCCTGCTTCATGTCAGAGAAATTTAATATGTAATTCGCAGTATTATACTACGTTTTGTGGAGTTGTCTAATATGTAATTCGCAGTATTATACTACGTTTTGCGGAGTTGTCATTTCGTTC